TGAAATCATTAGCGTTGGAAAGTGGTCTGTTGCATTTAACTTAGTCTTCCTTCATCTCAATTTAAGTATAATTTTTCTTGTCTTATCTCAGTACATATGGATGCTTTCTCCTACAGACTAAAGAAATACTGGGCCTACCTATGGCAATTTAGTTTCAAAACTATTTCTCTAAATACACTCTAAATACAGTGTTGTAAAATTGGTGACATCATCTTGAAAATCTGTCAGTCATTTAGTTTTAATTTCTCCCCCTTAATTTTCAACAATATGCAGAGAGACTAATTGAAATAAAGAAGTTGGCAGCATGAGCTTTCTTGTAGCATCTTAGACTAATTGAAATAAAGAAGTTGGCAGCATGAGCTTTCATAGACTTCAGTCTTCTCCCTCAGATGCATATCCTGGAAAAGTCTACAAAAGCTTACGCTATCAACCTTTTTATTTCAGTTAGGGGGGTTGCAGACTGCCAGAAATAGTGCAAATTGAGTCCACTTTTAGGGTTAGGGTTAGTGCTAGGGGATCATGGGAACTGTATTTTATTGTGGCACCAGAGCTCTCTGACAGAGAAGGCTCAATGTCTCAGGAAAAAAAAAACATTCCCATGATTCCCTAGCACTAACCCTAACCCTAAAAGTGGATTCAATTTGCACTATTTCTGGCAGTCTGCAACCCCCATTAGTCTCAAAAGTGCTAAAATATCTCTCTACATACTGATTCTACATGGCTATATCTTTGATTTCAACAACAGTATTCTTAAAAATCAGAATGCTGTCACAATCATGTGCCCCATGTAAGTACCACTGCAATTCCGCGGTCTGGACTGTACTTTAGATTTCCCTTTTCCTTGGCAACAATACAGAAGTATAGAAGGCAGTCCATATTTTTAAAATCAGATGGAGAATGCTGTTTCTTGCCAAAGGGATGGCCATTTTTCAGCTGCACTGCTACAAGTCACTGCACCCCAGTATTACAGCTTAAGGCAGCCTTTCCCAGTCTGATGCCCTCCAGATGTTTTAGATATTAATTCCCATCAGCCCTAGACAGCATGGCCATGGGTTAAGAATGTTGGGTTTTAGAAATCCAAAACATTTGGATGGGAAGTGCCATGAGGCAGAACAGCACAACTCTGCATGAACTTGTATTCAAATTTCAGTAGTGAAAAACAAACAAATGGGTGGTGGCTGCAACAGCAAAACATACACATTCTTATATATTACTGTAGTGAAGGCAACAAATTCTTTAAAGAACAAAAACTGCAGTTATCTTTTAAGAAAGGGGCAAAAAGCTTCATCTAGTCTCTGTCTGACTCATATCACTGACTTAACTGAGTACTTGCCTACTTTAAGCTAAAATGCTACAGTCATATTTACCATCTTCAAACCTGCACAGCAACTGCCCACATTTACAATGTTCCCCAGGTGGCATTTTCGGGGGGCGGGGATTCCTGGCTAACAAAGGTTCAAAACACACTGCAGAACTAATACACTTTGAGACCTCTTTAACTACCCTTCTTATGGCACCACAGTTCTCTGGCAGAGAAGGGAAATGTCTCAAAAAACTACAGTTCTCAGGATTCCCTAGTGTTGAGCCAGGTCAGTTAAGGAGGTATCAAACTGGATTATTTCTTTGGACCATAGTTTCTGTAACAGCTCTCACACTTCATCTGGTTACTCCCTGTCAATGAATGAGTAGGCCAGGGGTAGGCAACCTTTCCCCTTTAAGGGCCAACGGACTTCAGCTCCCAGAAGCCTCAGCCATGTTGGCCAATAGTCCCATGTTGGCCAATAGCTCCTGGGATTCTGGGAGCTGAAGTCCCTCGGCCCTTAAAGGGGAAAGGTTGCCTACCCCTGGAGTAGGCTATTTAAACTTAAATACTATGCAGAAATTGAGCTTTAGTTTCCAAGCAAGTACAATAGTACACAGGACTTAGAGCTGTTGCCACACTGCAGAATTAATGCAGTTTGACACTGCTTTAAATTCCATGGCTCCATTCTATGGAATCCTTGGATTTGTAGTTTATTGTGGTACTACAACACAGAAGAGAATTGGACTTTGCATTTTGGTTGTGATGAAAATGTAAGAATTGGTAACGATAACCACCCCCCTTGCTTTTGGGCCTGCCTTCACTGTCTTTACCTCCTCATGACACACACATTACAAGAATGCAGCCCCAAAGACCTTTCCCAACCAACCAAATTGGATGATCCCCCACCCTTGTTTTAGCGGAGTCAAACAAACAAACACACCATTGCTGCCTCTGGATCCTACTTAGGAGGCATTCAGACTGAATGGGCTAGTGGGCAGAAGGCCAATTCCATTAGTCATCTAAAGGGGAAAAGAAGGGGGAGGAAAGGAGGGGAGGAAACAGGAAATGTGGGGGTGCATCTATACCGGGTAGGCAACCTTTCCCCTTTAAGGGCCGAGGGACTTCAGCTCCCAGAATCCCAGGAGCTATTGGCCAACACGGGACTATTGGCCAACATGGCTGAGGCTTCTGGGAGCTGATGTCCTTTGGCCCTTAAAGGGGAAAGGTTGCCTACCCCTGGTCTACACTATAGAAATAATGCAACCTGACACCACTTTGGCTGTTATTGCTCCATCTGACAGAATCCTGGGCTTTGTAGTTTTGTGAGGCACCAGCACACTCTGGCAGAGAAGGCTAAATACCCTGTAAAACTACAAATCCCAGGATCCCATAGGATGGAACTACAACTCTTAAAGTGGAACCAAACTGCATTACAGTCATCCTTTCATATCCGTGGATTCTTTATCCACAGATTTAACTATCCACAGCTTGAAAATATTTTATATATATATACATTCCAAAAATCAAATGTTGATTTATGCCATTTTATATAAGATGATACCATTTTACTGTGCCACTGTGTTTAATGGGACTTGAGCATCCTATGGATTTTGCTATTCTGGAACCAAACCTCAGGGCAAGAAAAGGCCATAAGGAACACACACCTCCCTTGCTGGAGCAAATGCACCTGTGGCAACACCTTTTACGACTAAGTGGTTTTTGTTTTCGCGTGAGTTTTTGTGAATATAGACCCCCTTCTTCAGATGCAGATCCGAAGAGAAGCCCATGAACTACTGAAATATTTACAATTACGGAAAGAGTACAAATATCTACAATTACTTCTGCCACCCACCCATTTCTCAAAGTAACCCAAAGACTAGCTGAGTTGTTATAATTTTATATTACTATAATTATTATTTATTATATTATTATAACATCCGGTTTGACACCGCTTTATCTGCCATGGCTCAGTGATGTGGAATCCTGGGATTTGTAGTTTGTTGTGGCACCAGAGCTCTCTGACAGGGAAAGCTAGATGTCTCACGAAGCTACAAACCCCAGGATTCCATAGCATTGAGCCGTATTAGTTGAAGCGGTGTCAAACTGCATTAGTTCTGCAGTGTGGATGCACCCGTGGCAACACCTTAACAGAATTAAGAAACAGAAAGTACCTCAGCGCCAACCGTCGAGGGGAAAGAAAAACGACGGCTAGTTACTCCCTACCCAAAACATCCGGCGCGGTTTGATGTCGTCACTACACCGGCTGAGACACTCGCGGCAAAAACACCGCCTCAGCGTGTTCTCGCGAGAGTTCCAGAACAGCTTCTGAGCGAGCGTTTGTGAGCACAGAGGTGGCGGAGACGCTAGCGGCAAAAAGACCGCCTCACGTAGCGTCCTCTCGCGAGAGTTCCGGAACAGCTTCTGACTGAGCGTTTGTGAGAAGAGTGGAGGCAGCGACGGTTGATAGGGAGTGGCAGTTAGGGGCGGGGCGTAGTCAGTTGCGCCTGCGCAGTCGCACTCGCGTTCTGTCAGTCGGCGAGAGAGGTCGCCCTTTTGTTTCTCCTCAGCAGTGGGGATTGGTGCCTTGCTTCCCAACCTGGAAAGCCGTGTGGAGGCAGGAGGTGGGTGCGAGGAACCAGCAAGTTTACTAAAAAGGAAAATGGAAAAGTGGAGGGGGAAGAAAAAAGGAGAATGGCTTTTGGTCCAGCTGATTTCTTGGTGGCTCTGTAGAGCCATGGATTTTAAAACTCACTATGAGGCGGTGCTAAGTGCTAGTCACCGCAAGGACCAAAGGGAAGCCTTTTTAAAACCGCCTTTTCTAATAATAAGAGGAAGAACGTTTCTAACTTTCTCTAGCCTTTGCCCAGTGGTTTGTTAGCTCCTTCTCCCTCATATAAAATGGTTAATAGGTGTGATACTGAAGGGATGGGGAAAAGGGGTCCTTCGTTGTAAGAACACAATGTGGTTGTGTTTGGCACCCAGGTACAGATCTATATAAACCAGGGGTAGGCAACCTTTCCCCTTTAAGGGCCGAGGGACTTCAGCTCCCAGAAGCCTCAGCCATGTTGGCCAATAGTCCCATGTTGGCCAATAGCTCCTGGGATTCTGGGACCCGAAGTCCCTCGGCCCTTAAAGGGGAAAGGTTGCCTACCCCTGATATAAACTCTTCCTTCCACATTCACTGGGATCAGGGGCACAGGACCCCCGTGAATGTGGGAAAAAACACAAATAACAAAAACACTATGTTTTTACCTGAGAAAATACCTCTCTAGGAATCTCTAGGTCCTCCAGGGAAACTCTGTGGTCAATATCTGCCAGGCATTGACTATAGAGTTGCGCTGGAGGAGCTACAAATGCCTAGTGGAGAGTTCTCTCTAGGAA